CGGAAGAAGAAATTTAGCAGTTAATAATTCTGTTTTCCTTCAAATAATGCCCTGTGAGCACCATCTGAATTCTGCGGTCACGCCACATACACAGAGGAAAGCTGAAGGGAATTCACACAAGCTGGAAGCCGCCCTGCCCTGTGCCCTTGCTACCATTATCCATCGCTTCCTTCTCTTCCTTTTGGTAAACGAACGCAGCCTGCCACAGCTTGGTACTTTCTGTGCAGCGGGACGTTCTCTCTTTCACAGAAAGTATTCGGAAAAAAGCCAACGCGGTCTCAGCCTCTCCTCGGAAGTGCACGGCCATGTAACTGGCTCCTGCAACGGCCGTGCCCTCGGCTTGTCGTGGAGCTACAGGAGAAACGCTCGCCCTGCTGCTTGGCGGAAGGCAGCTGCAGCTTCAGGGCTGCTTGTGTTCACCCTGCCTGCTCCCAGGTGACAAAGCAAACGCTGATGGCCCAGAATGCTGCTTCACACGGCGGGGAGAACATTGATCAGCTGTCACGTGTGGTCAGGGTACTGCAGCGAGAGCTTGGTGAGCGAGCCTCACTCGTCGCACTGTGAGTATCGGGAAATGCTACACTGGTTTACTGTAACTTTTTTACATCACATTTCTGTGTATGAATCTTTGATTGGCAATTTTTTAAGTTATTGAGGGGAAAGCCTGTGTTTTCAGAACTGTTCCTTACCTCTGTTCGGTGGGGGGGTGTCCCTCGCTTGCATCTCAGATGTGTTCCCAACTTTCCCATTAGGGTGGGGCTCTAAGAAGAAGAGTCAAGGCTACCAGTTCAGTCGTTCGGGAACCGTAAGGGTTGTGATCTTCCATCTTTTGGCCCTTCACAGACGGTTTCAGCAAAGAACACGAACATACACTGTGTACAAATGTGCATTAACATACAGGGAGTGTTTGTAAAGCAAGCAGGTAACCTTCAGTCCTGAGCTGATAGCTGGAAGAGAGGAAGATGAGAATGGCTTGGGAGAGTCCTTCTGGGTCACCCGAGAACATTCACAGACCTGTTCTCATCTCAGGGGGAGGATGGAAGAATGAACTTGACAGGAACATCAGCCCTGAGGTGGTCCTAACCACAGCATCACCGCGAGTGTTTTACTGTTTCAGTTCAACGATGATGTCAGTGGTTGTCGACACAGCCTCCGACACGGACATGCAGTTCTCTTAAACAGCAATTTGTCACGTAGTACTTTGTAGTTATTTTTTACGGTGTTTCTAGGGGAAAATAATGCCTGTATTTCAATAAATCCAGATTTTAGTCTTAAATTTGCAAGTTATGTCGTAGTCATTTGTTATTTAAAAAAATACTGCATAATTCTTAGAGTGAAACCAGTGCAACCTTATCATTAAAGCAGAAGGCACTGGTGTTCTTAATTCCTAAAGGAGACTGTGGAGGCTGGGCTAGGGGAAGCCGCGCTGCTGGTCTGCACATACCAAGACAGAAGTTTTATTGAAAACCATTTTTAAACCGCAAGAAAGTTAAAAATTCAAGTGCTTTATTTCAAATAGAAACTAACAACACAACATACGAAGCAAGTAAGTGATGGCAACAGTGGCACCTAAACATCTTTTAAAACAAATATTCAACAAAAATATATGTCACCTTATAAGTACACAATCTGCATGTGGCAATATATACAGCCAAGTGAAAAATATAAAAAGAAATACCGTTCTGCTTAAGAACATGATAGTGAAGACTTTGGTAGCAAAAACGTCTTTGTTGTTAAAACTGCAGTCTTCAAAGACACTTCCTTGAATTCAAAGAGTAAAACTTACACAGATCTATCCCGTGACACCGTCTGTGGGCAGCTCACTGATCCTGCTGGAATCACACAGTGATAACCGGCTAGCGCAGGGAGGAAGGGAGCGGGACCAGCCGATTGTGCAGGGGAAGACCACCAGACCAACGCCTCATCCTCCGGCCCTCCAGCACCTACTGCTCATCCTGCTCGTGGCTGGCGTGAAGGCTGATCTTCTGGACTTCCAGCTCTTCCGCGCTCACCATGGCGGGATCGATGGCGGCGTATCGGGTGCCGTGGAACTGCAGCAAGTGGATCTGTCGGACACAGAAAACAACGCTGAATCAGGCATAGAAGCGTAAAGTTTTGGTAAGAGGGAAACATTCCTTCCAAGTAATTTTTGTGAGGATGAAATCGTGGCTCTGGAGCACAAGGGTTCAGAGAGAGGACAGGGGAAAGGGCAACAGCCAGACCCCAAAGCCAGCCCTCCACAAACGCGCCTGCACCCAGCCCAGCCTCTCTGTGTCAGCCAGCCAGGAGCCAGAGCAAACGGCGCTCCGGCACGCTACGAAACGAGAGCAAGCGCAGAAAGCGAGTCTCCCACCGCCGCTCCAGCTGCGTGCGTTAGCGGACCGGCTTGGAACGCAGAGACTCACTTGAATATATAGGTTGACCTCGGCACTCCTGCAGAGATAGGGGAAGTTGCCTCCTGTTTTGAGATGAGCTCTTCTGGCATTAGGATAAAGCTTATACATTTCTTCTTTCGCTTCAGTCGAAAGCGCGCTTTGGTCAAACACCTAGGCAACAAGTCACAGCAGTTAGTTCTGAATCTAATCAGATTTTGCTTATTCAATCCGACTGGGTACATGCTGCTCATAGAAGCAACTGTCAGCTTCTCTGTGGAACGGCGTTAATAAAACAGAAATCAAGCAAACACGTTAGGCACTAACAGCTAGAAAGCTAAGGCTGCGATACATAAATGTATGGCTGTGTTATGGCACAGAATATCCAGTTCGTAACGTAACACAGCAGAGTCACGGTGGTGCCCAGACAGAAGGTTTATCTAAATACAAATTTAGCTGCTGCAAATATTTATTAAGTTGCTAACAGAATATCTACGCCCCTCCTGCCAAGGGCAAGAAACCGTGTTTAAAGAAAAAAAAAAAAAATTACATTGAGATTAACTTACGTCCATAATGGTTACAGGGGTGTCTCGAATTTTATGAGGTTCCACGTAGGAGTTCTGGCAGTTGAGGGTAAGTCTTGAAGCGAGCTCGCTCTGGCCTAGAGTCTCCAGCTTTCAGCAGAGAGAAACACGGATCAACAACACATTTCACTGCGGGAGGTTAATGCGATATTCACACCTCAGCCAAAGAGAAGCTAAAGGAAAACACGACTGCACTTCAGATGAAGACTGCAGTTCCAGCTTTGTACTGCCCTGCGTGAGACAAACGCTTAAAGCACGTGCCATTAGCTGCGCCTGCCTCCAGCGCGCGGCCTACAGAGCCATCCCAGTACTTTCTCCTCTTCCCCCTCAGTTTAACTGCTCCTC